CAGCCTCCCCCCGGCTGCCCATCCCTCTGCCCCTGCATGTGCCTGACCAGGGTACACTCGTTCTCCCTAGGCAGACCGGGCATCAGAGGACCAGGGACATGCCGCTGTCTGTCTCCACTGCTTTGCACCCGGCCTGGCTCTGGGATGGGCCCTTAGCAACGTGTGGGAGTATGAACTGGAGAACCTGGGACCCCTGCCCTGGCAGCCCACAGAGAGGCCCACTGCCCCCCACCCCCAGGGCCCCAGCCCTGGAGGGGGAAGCAGGGCGGCAGCACGGGGCTCAGGGCTCCCTCAGGCAGGAGCAGGGGGTGAGGGCTCTGGGCACATGGGTCCTGCTCCCCCGCCCAGCCACGCTCTCCCCGCACCCTCCCAGAGGCCCCTTTGCCCACGGCCCTCTCTCAACTCTCGGTGTCAGGAGGCATCTGTCCGAGAGCACACAGGGCAAGGGGCTGTGAACCCCAGGGAGGGGCCAGGCTGGGCCTCTGATAGGCTGGGGACCTGCTGAAGGGGTTGTCACATGCTGATGTGTTAGGGACCCTCCCACCTCTGTAGAACCCCCCACACACACCTGCTCCAGCCCTCTCTAGGCCAGCACTGGGCGTGACACTTACCTTCCCTCAGCAGGGCACCCTGGCACACAGGAGGCCCTTTCCCTGCAGTGCCCTCCTTCAGCCCCATAGCACTAGGCACATCCCCTCTCCCACTTGGCCAGGGTTTCCCCATCTGCCTCCTTCCGCGCCCGGCCAGCTGGCAAGTGCACGGCTGCTGCGGACGACTCGCTGCTCCGGCATGCCTGGCCTCCAGCCTGAGCCCTGTGGGTGCACCACGGGCATCTCTGGAGCGTGAGCCCACATGGACCTTCGCCATACCCTCTGGGCCTGACCCTGGCCCCGAGTGCGGCTGCCTGGTCCAGAGAGGGCCAGAGCCAGGCCTGCCTCCAGGAGACCCCAGCCCACGGGGCACTCCCTGCCCTGGCCCTGGCCAGCAGCACCGCTCTGCCACTGGGCCCGACTTAGCCTTGCTCTGCCTCTCGAGACTGGCCTTCCCGGGCCTGCCACAGCCTCACTGCCGAATCCCTTTGCTGGTGCTGGGCACCCCCAGGTCCTCAGGTGCTCTAGGGGCTGCAGGCGGTCTTGCAGAGCCAAGACTGTGCTTCCCCAGGCTGGGCTGGCACAGGCCTCCCCTTCTCCTGCTGCTGGCCTGGCCGAGGCTGCTGGCCACCCCCAGGCACTGGCTGGGCATATGCCCAAAGAGGAAAGGGGGCAAGGGCGGGAGGAGGTCGAGCTGCCGTGTCGTCACACAGGTGGCCCTAAGGACACCAGTCAGCTTCAGGCCTTTGCTTACCGCAGACACTGATGCCCGTGTCAGCACCCGTCACTGGGATGACGGCGCGCCTCTGTGAGTGGCTGGCGCCTGGGAGAGTGCACAGAGCTGAAGCACCCTGAAGGCTCTGGCGACTCTTAGAGTTTGCAGGGCCCTGGGTGGGACAGGGCTGGGGTGGTGACGAAGCTGGCCCCTTTGGGAGCCTGGGCTTACCAGTGACACCGTGACTGGGGAGGAGGCAGTGCACACCCCTGGAGCCAGGGCAGTCCCCCTGTGCCCTTGTGGGTGTGCACACGCCTGCACAGGGATGGCCACTCCTTGACAGTCATCTAGGCAGACTGACCAGGACGATGCCAGGGTGCAGAGGTTAGAGTTCCTCAGGTGCAGCCAGCAGGAGGGGCAGTGATAGAAATGCCCGAGGGACCAGCAGTTGGCGTAATGGCTATGTTGCTGGACTCTCATGTAGTTGACCGCGGTTCAAGTCCCAGACCCAGTGGCTTAAACTCACATGGGCGCGTGTGCGTGCATGCCCAGGATCCCAAGAGGAGAATGGAGGAGAAGGGATTATAGCATGGTCATCCCCCCTGGGGGGTGATTTCTCGCTTTTTGTCTCTGTCTTTCTGGCGAGCGCATGCACCCTATAGCAATCACTTATCTATAAATAAATAAATAAATAAATAAATAAAAAGGAAAAAAAAAAGAAGTGACTGAGAACTCTTGGCTCTCCCATCATATAGAGCTTGCTATGGCTTGAATCACATGCCCCTCTTGATTTCAGACACAGAAGGCCGCGCACCCCTGATCCCAGGCCCATGG